CGGAGAACCATTTCTAGCCTCACGTTAGATTTTCAATAAGGAATTTTTTTCTCGAAAGTGGGTAGGATTTCGGGAGTATATCTATTGACCAAAAATGATTGTAATTAACCCCTGTAACTAGAAATAATTTTTTGAGAACGATTTGAAATTTTTTAATTTCGTCGAAAAATTTGTTGGAGTAACCAATCGATTGAGATTATTTAATGATTTCAAGACTATTAAAATACGTAATGATGTACCTTATTGATAAGTACACAAATCCTCTATTTTGAGCAAATGAGCATTTTATCCATCTCTGTTGCGCGTGGGAGGCAAGAAAGGGAACTACACCATCGACGTTTCTTTTCGTGTTGCATGGAACAAGATGCCATCTGCAACAAACGTCGAATCTCACTTGGTAAAATAGACCCCGGTGTAATTCATCGAGTACGTATGTATGTACTGCAAAGCGACGGTCGCTACGTGAAAATTCATCGTTGAAAATTGAACGGGCTCGGTCGTTATAGGAATCATTGTTTGATCATGAATAATAAATGCAGCGAACACAATGTCGCATTTATGACGGTTTGTTGATCAATTGCGTGTTCGACGACCATTCGCGAGTGTGTAATTTTCCGCCGTTTTTCATATTTTCATTGCCAGAGCAAAGGGTTCGAATTGCTTGTTTCTGACCGCCTCTTTTATCGATCCTTTTAATTATCGTCGAAACGAGAACGCTGTATTTTGCTGTTCCCCGTTTTATTTGTATTTCTCGTTTATTTACTCCATTCTATTTCTATTTCTACCTCTGAAAGTGCATTGAAACCAATAAGACCAGTAATTTATTTATGACGTTAATTATATCGGATATTTTAACTTTGATTTACTTATACAGGGTGTTCGGCCACCTCTAGCAAAAATTTTAATGAGCGATAGTAGAGGCCAAAATAAGACGAAAATCAAGAATACTAATTTGTCGATGGAAGCTTCGTTAAAAAGTTATTAACAATTAAATTCAAAAATTTCAAATCGTTCTGGAAAAATTATTTTCGGTTGCGGAGGTCAACTACAATCATTTTTGGTGAGTACACATACCTCCGAAATCCTATCTACTTTCGAGAAAAAGAATCGAGTAGGTGCTGAAATTTTTCGGCGAAAAAAAATTTTTCAAATCGTTTTAAAAAAATTATTTTCGGTTGCGGGGATCAATTACAATCATTTTTTATCATTACACATACCTCCGAAATCGTACGCACTTTCGAGAAAAAAATTCCTTACTGAAAATCCAATTAGGTGCCTAAATTTTTCAACGGAGAAAAAAAATTGCAAATCGTTGTGGAAAAATTATTTTCGGTTGCGGGGGTCAATTACAATCAGTTTTTGTCATTAGACATACCCACGAAATCCTGCCCACTTTCGAGAAAAAAAATAGAGAAGGTGTGAAATTATTCGAGAAAATTAAAAAATTGCAAATCGTTGTAGAAAAATTATTTTCGGTTGTAGGGTTCAATTACAGTCATTTTTGGTGAATAGACATACCCCCGAAATCTTGCGCATTTTCGAGAAAAAAATTCAGTAAGAGCGGCACTTTAAACGTTAATAACTTTTTAACGAAGGTTCCACCAACAAATTAGTATTCTTGATTTTTGTCTTATTTTGGCCTCTACTATCGCTCATTAAAATTTTTGCTAGAGGTGGCCGAACACCCTGTATATTTCATTAAAAATTTTTTTTATTAAATCAGATAAGTCGTTTGCTTCGGACGAAATTTGAAAATGTACAATAATACAGTGGATAATTAGTAACAGGCTTGAAAGCGGTTAAATAGAGTTGTACAAAGTGTCCGTCAGGATATAGCAGAAATGAGAATATCAATTTACACTAAAACAAGTTGTTTGAATCCAATAGACGCGGAGGGGCATTCAAAACCATCATTTGTCACGATCTAACTCCTAATTACGCAAAGTAACCCTTGATGACGATACTGAAATCGCTCATGAAGGTTGATGATCGAATTAATCGTAAATCTTTGAGTAAATTAATCGTTATTCTTCAGTGGTGTCTGTTTGAAATAAACGAAAATTTCTTTTTACATGCTTGACAAATTTAACTATTTTCAAATATATTCCTGACGGTTTATTTAAAAAGTTGGCAAAATAATTAAAGTATAGAATACTAACAAGGCATTCCAATAACTTATTAAACTGATCAATGGCGAAACTTTTGCGAAGCTAAACAGATACAGTGTGTTAAAAAATAAATTCGTTACAATTTGAAAACAAAGTCAAAATTCGTTGCTGAAGCCTCGTATTGTTTGCACAGTATTTCGTAATGTTAGGTCTGGGTTAGGTAACATGTACAAGAGAGAGTACGTTCTACTCTACTTTAATGGAGTCATCTTCAAATAAAAAATTCAAGTCAGGTTGCAGTAAATACCGTAAAATAGTAAACTGAGAATTATCATAAAGAATATAATACAAATTAAATGCTTCTATCACAGTAACACATATTTATTTGTAGATCCAAAAATTATAATTCCTCTTTTAAAGAGGACCAATAAAAATTGTTTAAAATAGTACGAGTTAGCCAAGACTATGTTTGCACCGTATTATTTAAACCATAGAAGCACTAATTATTCAAACCACTGTTGCGAACGCAAGAGGGTCACTTGTGGCGCGGATATGTGTTACACACTGTCGTATCTAGCGTAACCCTTTGGATGGTTCTCGGTTCTGCTCCGCAGCGATGTTATTTTCTGCAGATTGCCTGGTAAATGGAAGTCCCCGGATAGCTGTGTCACGGGGAGCAGAAGCTAGAGCAGTGTTACCGAAGTCTGTGTACGCGCGTTGGGTCTACCCAGCCAATCGATAGAATCAATTTGCATAATGTATACACGCGAAAGTGTATGTTCCACAATGCTCTCCGATACTGCTCTTGCCTTTGCCAGGCGATATCGAGGGCGGGCGGGGTGGGGTCGGAGCGCTGGTGATGCGATTAAAATTCTTGATAAGATTTTTGCGATACCGAGGAAGCGTAGCGGTTTAATGACAATCATATCGGGCTTTACGACACGCCGCGGAATTTTCTTTTACGGGCCAGCGAAATTAGTATACGCGCATCTTCTATTAGCGTTTATTTACATATTTTCGTTTCTTATTAAGTAAACGCTGGTACGCGGCAACGTATTGTAAAACTGGCGTGAAACTTAAATGTTTCGATAGGCTCCCGTGACACTTCGACGGTAACGTTCATGCAAAGGACACCCAGCATTCTTTACTGCCGTTTCCGATTCGCTTCCATTCCGCGCTTCTGTGCTAGGCATCTGCTATGATGCATTGTTTCAAATGGGGCGAGAGAGCTTTTCAATCTTGCCTGTGTAATGAAATCGCTTCGAACCGTTCTCGTCGGAACAAAGAAACCGATAAAGACCTGTCTTCTCGCGGTTCTTATCGGTCGTATGGTGTAATTAAGTGTACCTGGCATTCGCGAACATTTTGTTTCAAAGAAACGCGTCTTCGATCGATAATCAAGTTGTGATCGCGTCTTAGGAAAAAAATTTATTGAATCGCTGAGGTATTGTCAGCGTTAGATCCGTCGCGGATAATTTAAATCGTTTTCCTTTTAACGTGGAAGTGTACTTCGACGCTTTGGTCGCGACAAAAACAGTCCACAATAATAGATATCGTTACTGGTTTTCCGAGATATAAAGTATTTTTTGTCGTTTGTTTAACAGGTTTTTCTTCCATAGAATACGTGTATAGCATAGAGGTACATTAAGTCTGAGGCTATAATAAATCCTTCGCTTACACGGTACATTCGTTCCCAGAGCTTTCTGTGTAAGCCTAATTGTATAAATACCGATATATTACAAGGAGAAAGGAGGATCAAATGCAAGTTAAGAATAATGTTGTATCATCAATAAAGGGAATGTGGACGGTGTCGAGTAAATCGTATTTAGTCGCAGGCTTTTCGAACATTGGTTAAAATTGTTCCAATTTGGTTAGATATTATTTCCAGGAATTATTAAGCATTTGTACATTACTATTTTTATATTTACATGGGACAAATACGATAGAACCTCGATCATTGCACGACCTCGTTTGTTACATGGGTTGGTCGCTAAGCAACAAGTTAGGTTGGAGACACTACGCATGAGTTATAAGTAGTGGGGGTACGATGTGTGGAGCTACTGTTTATCGCATTGGTTACTCGGATTATTGTAAAATGTTTACACGCGAAGAACTAGCAATGTCTATTGTCCCTTTAAATATACATGCAATAATATATAAAATTTACACAAATTTATAATATATACTGTTTCGATTTTCATTGTGTAGAATGCAGTTTCAATATTCAACAGATTTTATAATTTATACACGTACAGCAGGCTCTCAATTACCTGCGATTCAATTATCTGGAATCTTGTTTATTCGCAATCGTGGTTTCCAAGGATTTCAATTAGCCTCTCTAGTAAAAGTATCCATTCGATTAAGGATTGCAAATTTACCTCTTATTTTCTATTTTCAAGAAACTTGCCATTATTAGAAACAAAGAACGGTGATAGTGTGTTATAAAAGTAAATAAATAAATGTTTATTTTAAACAAAAATATAACGAGGTTGACAACGCGACGTCGAACGCGTTGCGTCGCATGACGTTTCTTGACTTTCGAATTACGTCGACGCGCACGCGATCGATAAGCGGTTTCGGCAGCGACCAAGATCGAGATCCCGTGGTGACGTGTTTTCGGGCCATTATTCGTGTCGCGGTTTGAGGAAAAGTAAAACGGAAAGTGGTGTCGTTTCGGTAAACACGGATCCGCGGTGCATCGTCCCTGCAAGGTAATTTGCAATCGAGCAAGGGCGCGAGTTTCGTTCGCGGTCGGCCGGGAGTCGTGGTTGGTTCGGGCAGAGAGCCCGAGCGCTGCCGAAGACGGCCGAACGCGCGAAGCGCCAGCGCTGGCCGAGCCTGAACGGAGCGCTCGGGTCAAAATATATTCAGTATATTCTAAACAAGCGCGCGACGTGCTGTCACGTTTTGTTTGCGCGCGCGAACCCGTGTCCCGTCGGACGATACGCTCGAATATCAACGGTGACATTGCATCAGTGCTCCGATCACATAAGATCAGTGCGTACGGCGTCGATTTTAAACACGTCGGCGATCCCTCGACGAACCGAACCGGCTCACGCGCGGTTAAATTCGGAAGAGTAACAACGCGGCAGAAGACACGGGAGCAGAGAGAGACTCTGGGCAACCGTGAGTTCGGTATTATACGCGAACCCGTGATCGTCCGTTCTTCGTTCTTCTATTTCTCGTTCTCTCCTTCGCTCTTCTCCTTCACTCTCTGTTCATTTCACCGCTATCTCTTTCTTCGATTCCTTCTCCCTGTCGTTCCCCTTCCCTTCTTTTCTTCGTTCGTCTTTCGTACGCTCCCTCCGGTAATATTCTCTCTCCCTTGAACGGCTCGTTCTGTCTCCGTCTCCTTCGCTCCGCCGTCGTCTCGTGGGGTCAGTGGCTGCTCGATCGGATCCTGAGCAGGAAGACACACCGGAGGAGGAGGACGATCTCCCTCGTCGCGAGACTCGGAGCCACACACGCGCGCCACGCACGCAGCCACGCACCTCGAAACGGAGCGGACGAAAAAAAAAAAATACAAAAATACGTTTCTTATCCCTCACGAAAGGGTTTCCCTTGACCCGGTGGAAACTGCACCAGTGAGACCCGTAAACCCGTAAACCGTAACTCTTGCCCGGGACGTTCGAAAGAGCCGCGGGGAAAGGTGGATTTTTCTCGCTGACGACGTGACATCTACGGTCGGGGCCAGCCGCCGAAAAATCGTCGACAGATCGACGAAAACGCCTTTCGTCTCGACGTTGTACCCTCGACGCGTGTGTGTGCGCGTGTGTGTGTGAGCTCGCGCGCGCGTACGTGTGCGTGTGTGCGGTGATCGACGTGTGAGACTCCCGTATCACGTACGCTCTTCCAGTGCAGGAAACTCGTGCTCGTTATCTGGCCACTTTTCTCGTGTCTCGTTTTTCTGTTCCTTTCCACTCCATCTTTCTTCCTCTCGCTAGCGCTGTTCGCGTATCTTCTCTGTCTCGGTTCCGCCACCTCTCTTGCCGCGTTTAACTCTTGCCGCTCCTCGCGACGACTATTATTTTTGTTCGCGCCGATCGACAAAAAAAAAGAAAAAGAAAGGACCCACGCGAGTGATTACGGGGGAAGGAGAGAAAACTTTCGTGGAAACGGGATCGACGATTTGAAGTCTGTGTTTTTGTTTACTTAGAAGGCGGACTGCCCACGCGACTCCGGAACGTCGAAGAGGAGGTGAAAAACATCCCGTTCGAGGAATACGCCGGTTGTTGACGTTTTTACACGAGAGGTGAGTAAATGTGTTATTCATTCACTTTAATCGGCCTTCGCGGACGCTTTCAGCATCTTTCTGTTTCATTACGCGTAGAAACGTTCGTTCTACGTGCATATTAAGTACGTTCTCGACTTATTACATTAATTCCTGTTTAGAATATACTGTATAGAGAAAGAAAGAACAATTTGGTACTATGAATAAAGGAAATTTGGGCAGTTTCGAGTAATTTTTGCTTACAAAAACAATGGTAACGAGGGTAAGTTTAACGAGGGCTGATTAAAATGTTTTATCTAATATGACCAACCATTCTTTCCAGGGCTGATATTTCTTTCCCCTTAGAATACACTTAGTACATAATCTTACTTTTAAATATTAATTTTTGCTTTACGAATCTATATACACTCCTTATTTAATATCCAAGTATACGCTGCATATACATATAAAGCATGCATTAGCTGTACCTGGAAGACTCACTGTATCAAAAAATAGTCTTATTCTTATTGCTTTGTAATCATTTTAATGTTGCAATTAATCGTCCGCCTTTACAGACGGTGCTTTTAGAAATTTTCAATATTCTTAATAGTAGATTAAATTGAAAAAGTTATTCAGCAAAATCACACTGTCGAAATAAAACACACCATCGAAATAAAATGAGAAACTACACGATCTACACTTTTCGTTGATATCAATATCGTTGCACTATCTTCGACTATAGTAGAAAATCGCTTCGTACTCGATAATTACGTATAAAATAGCGACAACACAACGATCGTTGAGCAGATTTATCGAGACGATCCGGTTGATTGTAGCCATTATTCCATGAAATATTTACATCCTCGCGGGGGGGTAAACAATTTCTTGTTGCATGGTTCTTCCGTCGCTACCGAACGCACGAAGTATCGGTGTTCGCGCGCGTAAATACCGCGCCCGCGCTAACCTGAATGAGAAATCCTAGAGGTATCGCGTTCTTTTTTCTCCTGTTGAATGGCGGGCAATTTGAATACGCCTCGATTCCGCGAAACGTATGCCCTTTTATCACGCGAGCCAGAACTACCGCTGTGCCGATTCCTTATTATTCGCTCGACACCGGCGGCATCGTCGCAGACCGTTTGTCACGCAAATGCCCGGAATATGGAATTACCGTGGTGCCATTGTGTTATTAGGTTTGCGTAGTCCCATTCGTATCACGCAGCATTCACGAAGAGAGCCTCGCGTATGGTAAACATCAGGTTGCCGCATACGAAACGTGGGGTTTATTCTTTTCAATGAAACTACAAACCTATCGCGACACTTCGTACGTTTAATCAGGATGATATCTGTTTCCCTAGGATCGAGCAAGTTTGATGAAAATTACTAGTTCTGACGGACAGTGATTTTTAAAGATCGATACCAACATCGTTCTGTCAGTTTTCATTGAGAATAACAGACGAGCATCGTTTAAAGAAATTAAGTTCCATTTGCTTTCGTTATAAATTTCCTATGACCGTAAAATTCGCAAAGATCGATCAGTTTTGTACTTCCCGTTTGATGAAAATTTGAATTTCCGAAAGTCAGGGATTCCCAGAACAATGTTTCCTCAATTTTTCCGCTCCGGAATAATTTACTTCATAAAGAATGAGCCGCGTGCTCGAGGATGCGAGAATCTGGCTGAGAATATGGAATTACGTAGCGCTATTGTGCTATTTAGTTTACGTAGTTCTATTCGTATCGCGCGGCCATTCATGAAACGGATCTCTCGCACGTGTTAAAATATTAGATTTACGTTCACCAAACTGCGCTTCATTCTTTTCGATGAAACTGTAAACGTAGTTACTTGCTTCCTTGTAACTTGGTAAAAACAGTTTCCATTTTCGACGAAAATTTAGAGTTTCATGAGTCGAACATTTTTAGAATGGCGTATTTACAGATTCCTCATTTTGAAGTAATTTATTTTATGAAGAATGTCTCTATTGAGAATACATTTCTTCGCTCAAAAAAAGTTAAAGTCCGTCAGTATTTTTCTGTTTTTGTTCTTTTGGATCGATGACTTGAATATTTGTCTATCGAACAAAATTGTCTCCCTATTGTTTTTTATATTCGTCGATTTCTTGTAACATCTATATTAAAAGTAAAAACTCTTGAAATATGTTATTTTGTAGAAGAATGAATGCTTGAGAAAATGATCTACCGACTAATATGGAATCGCTGTAGCCCTTTTGTGCTAAGTTTGCAAATTGTAAACATTAGGGTGTCGCAAACGAAACGCTGTTTTATTCTTTTCAATGAAACTTCAAATCCACGCAGGTTGCTTGAAACTTCGTATATTTAGCTCTTAAGTAGGCCCGCGGGAGTCTAGTAGACTTTGACCGGAATACATAATGTGCTGCTGCCTGATGTAGATTGGTTATTTTATAATTAAATTTAAGAATATTAACTACATTATTTATAGAACAAAGAATAGGAATAAACGGTATTTATTCGTGGGTAGCTTTTGCCTGCCACTTTCCTCTTCTCGATGACGGTTAAAAAAACTCTGTTATATAAGGTTGTACTAAAAATTGTTTCGGACAAAAGTTAAATGATATCGGGAGGCGCATAATCTGAAATAAGTTTTCTCGTACACGTAGAGCACATACAAAGGTCAGCTGTATTTTTTTAAACGGAATCGTACATTATCGAATCGAAATTCTTAATACCGATTAAAGATAATCGAAATTTTATCGGAATACGTTGAGCCGCATTCGAGTTACGGCAGAGGAAATATTTGGACAAATAGACGAATTCTGAAAATACATATTTTAATCGTCGTAATTTTCATTTTTTAACGATCGATCAGCCTCGTCGCTTTTGTTCGACGAACAGGAGGAGTTCTGAAAGTCAAAAATTCTTCGAACGGTTTTTTGTAGATTCTCCATTTCGGAACAAGTTATTTTGTAAAGAATGATCCGAATGCTCGAGGAAGTGCAAATCTGCCGGTGAAAGATCAAGGACACAGGGAGGATGTGATAAAATTTTATATTCCGATTCGCTATATTTTTCTACCGTCATCCTTGATACACGAGATCTTGCGTTACCTTGCATCGACTCCTACCTGCTTATTTACAGATGCAAGTTGTTTTTCTCTCAGTCTTCAATTGCATTTCTACAACATGATTGCGACACGCTTCCGCCACGATTTACTTTTTCGGTTTTAGGAACGTTGTAACGAATAATGGAACGCTATTATTTTTTTCGAGCAAAAACAAATGATTTCGACATACATACGTTAGCTTGTTTTTATTTATTCAACTATTGTCTCGATGGTTTGTTTCTGTTGAATTCACGAATCGACATTCTCTATTCACTTAGACTTTTGAACTTTGTTCAACTGCGCCACCCATTTATTCTTCTTTACTTTGCCCGTCTTTGCCAAGTCACGAACGATCGTAGAATGACTAATATTCATTGAGTATATCGTATGGTTTCTCGTGGATTGTTTTCATCGGTTCCGTTGAACATTTCATTGTTTACAAATTCCTTTAGTTTTCCTCTTGGCACTATTTCTAACGATACGTTAGCAACTCGGGATTTTCGAAATCAACGTTGAACACTTTTTATTTTAACCATCTTTGAGTAGTGAATTCTTATAGAAAAATGACTAAAAAGTTTTTAATAATTCGGTGAGAAAGTTAGAAAGAAATAAAGTCGATTTATTCAATCTTATCCTACAGCAAATACGAATACATGATAATCCAAGCTAATACAAATACGATTACTGGAAGTGATCTTTAGGAGAATAAATAAAGAATTGAAAAGAATCTTTGAGGTTTTAAAGTTAAAAACTGTTAGAAACTATTTCTTCCTAATTGTTCGAATAACGTTTCTCGAATTACGTTTAAAGCCATTGAAATCGTATCGATGCCTTTTACTCTGAATGAAGTTATTGTACATCGCATACGGACATGATTGCTATTAATAAATAGGTCGTGAAGTGCGTCACTAAGATTTGTACCGTTTTGCATTATGGAAATCTCGTGAAACGGAAAGTAGAAGATATTCGTGAAGTTACCGTATTGTGTCGAGATCGTTTCTCGTTTCTTCGAGCGTAAATAGATTATCAAAGTCGCTTATGGATCGTGACACGTTATTTTTTAGCAGTATTATCGACGTTCGACACGAAAACGAGACAGACGGTACCGTTAATCTTAACGCGTTAAGCAACTGTTAAGCTACATTCCCCCATGCATGCAACGCTCAAAGCATATTCGAAGCATTTAAAAAGTCTCCGTGTTAGTTATTTTTAGTGCTTATAAAAAGTACAGTGCAGTATAAATATAACATTTATAGAAGGGCAACACGAACCGAAGAGTTATTTCAAGCCACGTTTCCTCGCGTTCAACAGGCGGTTTAGAGTACCTTTGAAGCATTTTAAAAAGTGTCCGAGTAACAAGGCTGAGCACGTTTAGTTTCGTTACTGAATTTTATTATTTCGAAGATTTGTGGGTCAGTAATAATTAGTATAACTGCCAATAGAGAATCTCAATTATTGCTCGTTCGATGTATTGTGTTAACAAGTTGAAGGAATGTGTATAGAGGCTACAGGTAGTGGAGATATGCTGCGTTAAATGGAGCTTCTTCTCATTAAATTAGTTACCTTGATTACTGCACGAATCTCTATGCGTGCATGTAAGAATTTTCAGACCAGTTTTCCTTTAACGATCAAAGTTCTACCGCAGAATCCATATTACCGTGAATTTCTCTATCTATTATATTAATTTCTTCGAGGAAGAATGATTTTGTTTGCGATAAATAAAAATTGAAACTGATGTTGACATTTATCAATTTTCCGACAATATTAGAAATTTAGTTATTAATAATTTTGATTGCTTTTACCAGTAATCTAAATTACCACTGATGTTACCATGTTGTATTAGTACCAATAATATATAAACGAATAGACTCAGGATTTTTTTCACCATGCTGAATACCTCGTCGAGTATCGTTGCCGACAATTCTTACGTTTCGACGTATTTTTTGTCAGAATGATTCGCGTAATT